CCACCTCTCACTCCCGCCCCACCCCGCCGACGCATGGGCCCATTCCGCGCGGAGGGCCACAGCGCAGCGCCTCCGCGTGGGCGCATGACCGGTCGCGACCGCCACCTCGCCCGCTCCCCCCGCGGTTATTTCTACCGGGCCGAGCCGCGCTTGGAGAGGGCGGAGTCAGTGGAGGTGGAATAGACTAGACTAATCTTGTAGCGGGGTCTCCGGCCGCCTCTACCACCGTGCCGGCCTGCTCTGTCGTCGGTGAGCACGCGCAGCGGCCCGAAGAGGGGGACTGCCGGATCTCGCGGGGCAAAGTGCGCCAGCGACCCGAGGTATACCTCGTTCTCTTCCTCGTCTGGATCCGTCCGTCTACTTCAGTTTCGTACAGTTTACTGAGTAGACCCACTGCTTAAGCGTGAGCTGTTGGTGATCCGCCGTAGGTTTTACTATCTCCTCCTTCCGTTCCAGTAGATCCGCTTGAGCTAGGCTGTTGGACTAGGATCATAGGTGCGTGCATCTCAAGCCCGAACTGCTGGGCATCCACCGTAGTAGTAGAATCGCGCGTTCACTTGGAAACTTGATTAAATCGTAGGGGTTCGACCGAATCATGAGTAGATCTATTTTCTTCAACAAGTAAATCATGCGTGCCAACTACTTTTTTTCATTGCCGGCTCGTGTGTGCATCTTAGTTCTTCAGTGCAGATTGATGGCCATCCATGGTAGATTTATAGTGTGCTAATCTGATGGTGCAAGCTGCTCGAGGAAACCAAAAGTTCTCTATGCCTTGCTCTACTACTTTTAGGTTGCTCTGGGTTTCTTCTATGAAGAGATGTGCACCAGTGATAATAGTGTGAGATTGTTATTTTCCCGTTACTTTTTTTGTGATGGTTGGTGTGTGTGCGATCTTAAGTGCAGACCGCTTGTCATTCACTGTTATTTTTTATGTGTACATTTAGAGTGTCTGAGTTTCTTTTAGGTAATGCTCATTTCTTTCCTAGATGAGATAACTAGCTCATGATTCAGTACTGTATTTCTCTTCATGAAGATATATTGTACTCCTGCAGGTTTGCTTGCCTGCTGACCTTACAAATATTTTCTTTTCAATAGGTGCCTTGGTATAGAATGAAGTGAAGAGAGCAGAGTATCTTGGCCGTACTAATCAATTCATCATATTATGTGCGCAATAAGATTTTGCTATGCTTTCACCGTTGATGCCCACTGGTTGGATCATGCTTCTGTTTATGAGCTCATTGAAGTAACTCTCTCGTAGCTCAAATGGGCCAATTTCTTGTTTGCGTGGCACACAAAACCTTCAGCTATCCATCTTCATGCCAGTTGGTCTCTCTTAATTTTGTAATCTTCTGGAAATATGCTTACATATAATAAATGATGCGAAGGTAGATCATAGAAACATGAACACAATTCTTAATCTAAAGCAAGATGGTGTAGGCTACTTTTTGTGATTTAACACAAATAGCAGGCACACATGCACCAATACTAAGAAAATTAGCAAAGAAAATGAGTAAAAGAGGCACTTGACTTGTAGATTATAAAAGAGTGATGATCTAGAAGTCAACCCTCTTTTACCAGTAGTTTTGACCTACCTTCTCATCCATAGGATTAGTTATTGTATCTAAGCATGTTTTTAGAAGATTAGAAGATTAAGCAAGCTCATTCGATATGTAAGGTGGATAGTTTGAGGTTTTGTTTATCATGAAAAACAAGGGATTAGCAAGTTTGAGCTCGGTGGTAGAATTGCTTAGTGAGATCGTGAATAGGAGCATGATTCAACCAATTGACATCAATGTTGATTAAGGCATGGAAAAATCTTATTGTATACATGATATGGTGATTGATTTCATATGCTGAAGAAGAACCCTTGCATGGCACTCAGTGAAAGCCTTCTATCCTAAGGCGGCAAGATGTGAAGATTATCCATCCGAAAGAGCATGACAGGTAGCAGCTATGTCACAATGAGGTCTGTTGCAATTGTTGATTGGGTGTAGCTTGTTGAGTGCTCCAAGTTCTACATGCCCTGGATTTAGAATATTGTGCTGCATGTCTCCATTCTTGGCAGTCACAATGATTCAAGAATACTGTGTTTGCAATGACATGAAGCTCCTATTGTATTTCTACCAACTAGTGCTGAATTAGTCATGAGTCTCTTGGTGTATTTGTACCCACTGATGCTGAATTATAGTTGAGTCAAGAACTGTCAAAGTTCTGTGTCGGCTCCTGCAGTTAGCTCATGAGGAACTTGTTTACCCCATTCCTTTATTTTGATGCTGGCTTGTTATACATTGTGTCTCTTTTCTTTATAGCAGTAGCAGCTTTTGAAGTCTTCTTGCTCTGCTCTTTGTATGAAATGTAAGGTAATTGTTCTGAAATGATATGTATATGTTGCTGTGTATTTTTTTAATGTCCTGTATATGTTACATGAACTGATGCAATGATTTTTTGTAGGTAAAATTACATGTACAGTACCAACGTCTTCAACTGTTATTTTCTTTCTGACTGCCATCAGTGGCAGGATCACAAGTGAGGCCGTGCAATGTCCGTGCTTATCTACTTGTTGAGCCGTTTGAGGATATTGGTCCTGCATGCTTTCCATTTTTTGATTTTTTTTTTCAAAACTATGACCTATTTTATAGCAAATTCGGAAACTGCAAAGAGTGGAGAAAAATCAAAAGTAGCAATTTGGGCCAAAAAGACCTTTTTGTTAGGAGTAGGCCGAAAAGTCTTTTTTGGTTAGGAGTAGGCCGAAAAGTTTCCTGGGTCCATGTTTTCACGTTAATGGTTGACCGAAGTTGCATGGCTCCACTCTTTGGCTTACGTTAGGCCGAAGCGATCTTTTTTAATTTTGGTATATAAATACTGTGCAACCATTGTCCATCTTAGACACTGAAAATATATATTTTCGCGCAACCATTTCCTCTTAATATTTTCTCATCAACTCTTTTTCGCCAATCAATTCCTGCCATATGTTCCTGCCATCCGTTTTCTGTCAACTCCTCGTCATATATTCCCGTCAATCCTTTCCCACCATTCCATAGTATACCATTAAATAAATTCTTTATATTTAAAAAAAGGGATAAAAGCGCAAGCTATGGAGTCAAAAACCTGACCTCACGCTGGGTATATGTGTTACCAGACAAATAGGATAGCATCTGGCTAATGTACAACAACCGAACCCTTTCTTTATAAAAAGTCAACATTTTCGAAAAAAGTGAACAATTTTACTTTAGCACTTTAAATAATTATTTAAAATAAAAATTTCCGAAATACGGACGAATTTTAGAATTCCAAACATTTATTGATTTTTTAAGTGATGAACAATTTATAAATATACACTGAGCATTTTTGTAGTATAAGCTGAATTTTTTTTGGAGACACATTGAATATTTTTTGATATAGGGTTAATGTTTTTCTGAATTGTGAAGCCATTT